CCCGGGTCTTTTCCAAGTAGTGGTGACCCGGCCTTGGCTCCCTATCTGGGGAGTGTCTCAAGACTTAAGTCTCCCATGGGAGGAGGTACAAGTACCTCCTCATCTTTGGGACCAAGTGTCCCCAGGCCTAGCCACATTCCCCGCCCTCACGGGGCTCGTAGGGAGAAGCTAGGCCTCTGGTCTGCCATCTACCCCGCCTCAAAGGGGCTCATGGGGATGGCAGTCTTATGAGCTGCAGATGGTAGCAAGCTCAGGCCTCAAGGTGTAGTAGGTAAATTTGGGGTGTCAGGGGTAAATGAAAATGGGGAGCTTTTGATTGAGCTATGTGTAGAAAGAGGTTTGGTAATAAGTAATACATATTTTATGAAAAAGAAGATAAATAAATATACAAGGTATGATATAGCACGTAATGAAAATAGTTTGTTAGATTATGTATTGGTGGATAAAAGGTTGATGGGTAGGCTCCAGGATGTACATATTTATGGAGGGGCAACTGATACATATTGGATCATTATTTAGTTGTAGCTACAGTTAGAGTAAGGGGTAAATGGGACAAGAAGAAAATGGCAACAACAAGTAAGAGGGAGGTGAGGGGGAGATACAAGCAACTATTGGCAGAAAGGTGGGCTGGTGCAAGTATGAGTAGCGGGGGGGCTGAAGAGGGTTGGAATAGTTTTAAAAATGCAGTGTTAGAATGTGGGGCAGAAGTTTGTGGTTATAGGAGGGTGGGTGCAGGAGGAAAGAGGAGTGATTGGTGAAATGATGAAGTAAAGGGTGTGATAAAAGAGAAAAAGGTAGATTGAGAGGTTTTTACAAAGCAGAAGTGTTATTAGAAGAGTAGAGTATATGGAGAGTAAAAGAAAGGTGAAGAGAGTGGTGAGGGAATGCAAAAGGAGAGCAGATGATAAAGTGGGAGAGGCACTGTCAAGAAATTTTAATGAAAATAAGAAAAAAAATTTTGGAGTGAGTTAAACAAGTTAAGAAAGCCTAGGGAACGAATGGATTTGTCAGTTAAAATCAGAGTAGGGGAGTTAGTAGATGGGGAGATGGAGGTATTGGGTAGATGGCAAGAATATTTTAAGGAACTTTTAAATGTCAACGAAGAAAGGGAGGCAGTAATTTCATGCACTGGCCAGGGAGGTATACCATCTTTTAGGAGTGAAGAAGAGCAGGATGTGAGTGTGGGGGAGGTGCGTGAGGCATTACATAGAATGAAAGGGAGTAAAGCAGCTGTAACTGATGGGATCATGACAGAAATGTTAAAAGCAGGGGGGATATAGTGTTGGAGTGGATGGTATTTTTGTTTAATAAATGTATGAAAGAGCGGAAGGTACCTAGGGATTGGCAGAGAGCATGTATAGTCCCTTTATATAAAGGGAAGGAGGACAAAAGAGATTGTAAAAATTATAAAGGAATAAGTTTACTGAGTATACCAGGAAAAGTGTATGGTAGGGTTATTATTGAAAGAATTAGAGGTAAGACAGAATGTAGGATTGCGGGTGAGCTAGGAGGTTTTAGAGTGGGTAGGGGATGTGTAGATCAAGTGTTTACATTGAAGCATATATGTGAACAGTATCTAGATAGAGGTAGGGAAGTTTTTATTGCATTTATGGATTTAAACAAGGCATATGATAGTGGATAGGGGAGCAATGTGGCAGATGTTGCAAGTATATGGAATAGGTGGTAAGTTACTAAATCCTGTAAAGAGTTTTTATGAGGATAGTGAGGCTCAGGTTAGGGTGTGTAGAAGAGAGGGAGACTACTTTCCAGTAAAAGTGGGTCTTAGACAGAGATGTGTAATGTCACCATGGTTGTTTAATATATTTATAGATGGGGTTGTAAAAGAAGTAAATGCTAGGGTGTTTGGGAGAGGGATGGGATTAAATTATGGGGAATCAAATACAAAATGGGAATTGACACAGTTATTTTTTTCTGATGATACTGTGCTTATGGGAGATTCTAAAGAAAAATTGCAAAAGTTAGTGGATGAGTTAGGGAGTGTGTGTAAAGGTAGAAAGTTGAAAGTGAATGTAGAAAAGAGTAAGGTGATGAGGGTATCAAATGATTTTAGATAAAGAAAAATTGGCTATCAAATTGGGAAGGAGTATGGAAGAAGTGAATGTTTTCAGATATTTGGGAGCTGACGTGTCAGCGGATGGATTTATGAAGGATGAGGTTAATCATAGAACTGATGAAGGAAAAAAGGCTAGTGGTGCGTTGAGGTATATGTGGAGACAAAAAACGTTATCTATGGAGGCAAAGAAGGGAATATATGAAAGTATAGTAGTACCAACACTCTTATATGGGTGTGAAGCTTGGGTTGTAAATGTTGCAGCGAGGAGGCAGTGGAGATGTCCTGTCTAAGGGCAATATGTGGTGTAAATATTGTGCAGAAATTTTGGTGTGGAAATTAGGAGAAGGTGTGGAGTTAATAAAAGTATTAGTCAGAGGGCAGAAGAGGGGTTGTTGAGGTGGTTTGGTCATTTAGAGAGAATGGATCAAAGTAGAATGACATGGAGAGTGTATAAATCTGTAGGGAAAGGAAGGCAGGGTAGGGGTCCTCCTCAAAGAGGTTGGAGGGAGGGGGTAAAGGAGGGTTTGTGGGCGAGGGGCTTGGACTTCCAGCAAGCGTATATGAGCGTGTTAGATAGGAGTGAATGGAGATGAATGGTATTTGGGACCTGACGAGCTGTTGGAGTGTGAGCAGGGTAATATTTAGTGAAGGGGTTCAGGGAAACCGGTTATTTTTATATAGCCGGACTTGAGTCCTGGAAATGGGAAGTACAATGCCTGCACTTTAAAGGAGGGGTTTGGGATATTGGCAGTTTGGAGGGATATGTTGTGTATCTTTATATACGTAGTATATGCTTCTAAACTGTTGTAGTCTGAGCACCTCTGCAAAAACAGTGATTATGTGTGAGTGAGGTGAAAGTGTTGAATGATGAAAGTATTTTCTTTTTGGGGATTTTCTTTCTTTCTTGAGTCACCCTGCCTCGGTGGGAGACGGCTGACTTAAAAAAAAAAAAAAAAAGTCTGTTGAGTATACCTGGTAAAGTGTATGGTAGAGTTGTTATAGGTAGAACTATGAGTAGGATGAACACGAAGGCTTTAGGAAAGGTAGGGGGTGTGTAGACCAAGTGTTTGCAGTGAAACACATAGGTGAACAGTATTTGGATAAGAGGAAAGAGGTTTTTGTGGCATTTATGGATTTGAAAAAGGCATACAATAGGGTGGATCGAGGGACAATGTGGCAGATGTTGCAATTGTATGGAATAGGAGGTGGGTTATTGAAGGCAGTGAAAAGTTTTTATGAGGATTGTGAGGCTCAGGTTAGAGTATGTAGGAGAGGGGGATTTTTGCCCAGCAAAAGTAGGCCTTAGACAGGGATGTGTGATGTCACCATGGTTGTTCAATATATTTATAGATGGAGCAGTAAGAGAAGTGAATGCTTGGGTGTTGTCAAGAGGTGTGGGGTTAAATGATAAAGAATCTAACACAAAGTGGGAGTTGTCACAGTTGCTCTTTGCTGATGACACTGTGCTTTTGGGAGATTCTGAAGAGAAGTTGCAGAGGTTGGTTGATGAGTTTGGTAAGGTATGTAAAAGAAGGAAGTTAAAAGTGAATATAGGAAAGAGTAAGCTGATGAGGATAACAAAAAAGTTACGTAACAGAAGATTGGATATCGGATTGGAGGGAGAGAATATGGAGGAGGTGAATGTGTTCAGATATTTGGGAGTGGACGTGTCAGCAGATGGGTCTATGAAGGATGAGGTGAATCATAGAATTGACAATGGGAAAAAGGTGAGTGGTGCACAGAGGAGTCTGTGGAGACAAAGAACTTTATCCATGAAAGCAAAGAGGGGAATGTATGAGTGTATAGTTATACCAACACTGTTGTATGGGTGTGAGGCATGGGTGGTGAATGTTGTAACAAGGAGAAGGCTGGAGGCAGTGATGTCATGTCTGAGGGCAATGTGTAGTGTGAATACGAGTAATGCAGAGATTTCGTAGTTTGAAGATTAGGAGAAGGTGTGGGATTACCAAAACTATTATCCAGAGGGCTGAAGAGGGGTTATTGAGATGGTTTGGACATGTAGAGAGGATGGAACAAAATAGAATGACTTTGAGAGTATAAAAATCTGTTGTGGAGGGAAGGTGGAGTAGGGGTCGGCCTAGGAAAGGTTGGAGGGAGGTGGGTAAAGGAGGTTATGTGTGCAAGGGGCTTGGACTTCCAGCAAGCATGTGCGATCGTGTTAGACAGGAGCAAATGGAGACAAATGGTTTTTAGGATTTGACGTGCTGTTGGAGTGTAAGCAAGGTAACATTTATGAAGGGATTCAGGGAAACCGGCAGGCCGGACTCAAGTCCTTGAGATGGGAAGTACAGTGTCTGCACTCTGAAGGAGCAGTGTTAATGTTTCAGTTTTATAACTGTAGTGTAAGCACGCCTCTGGCAAGACAGTGATGGAGTGAATGATGAAAGTGTTTCTTTTTTGGGCCACCCTGCCTTGGTGGGAAATGGTTGATGTGTTAATAAAAAAAAAAATAATTTCTGGAAGCCATTCATACAGTTGCCAACACATACTACAAACTCAGCCAGTATTATTTGGTATTAAAACATGAGAATCATAATTATGTCTATTTTTATTTTTTTCTGAAATTAGCAGCTACTTTTCACTTCTATTTTCTTCTCAAATTATTATTGCTAATTTGTCTCATCCCTGTCTTTGTCTTATTCTTAACAGATCAAAGTCACATTAAATTTTTCTTTGCAGACCTTGCTACATATGGACTTTTCAAAACATTACATGCATAATTTTTAGAAAAATAAATAATTTGACTTAAGAATTGTTGATTATGATGATCTGCACCTATGACTGAGGACCAAAAGACATAAGATTGCAAAATAATTGATTTATGAATGCTAATCTGCATATGGTACAAAATGGTGAGCCAAAATTTGTGGATATATCGATAATGATAATATTTTATTCTCTATAGGTTCGTTAAGGATTCTGTTGTCAGCGACACAGTTGCAGCAATAGCAACTACACAAAACTTAAACTGCTCAAATAGTAAAATCAGATGTGCTCGGCTTCAGTGTCATGTGAATTCCTGGCCAGGGGACACTAGCAACTCTGCAGTCTTCCCTTTAAAATTAGAAATTAATCTTGCTGTTTTAGGTAAGTTTTCCTCTGTTTTTTTTTCCGAGATCAACTCTGCTATATGTCAGTCTTATAGACCTTAGTCTTCCCTGTTCTGCAAAGTGATCTTATTTACTGCATGATGTCGTTTGGTGTTCAGTTTTTTCCAGTTATTAAATATCTTTTTGTAAGCATGGGCAGATACTTGAATAAAGTGAAGATGGAGGCACAAAAGTTTTTTTTTTTTTAACTGGTTAACTTTTAGAGGCTAAGAGCTATTGTTCTACCTCTGTGCATTTCAGAATCTGATTCTAGATTTTTTACCACATAAGCCATTTCCCACCAAAGTAAGGTGATGCAAAGAAAAAAACATTCATTATCACTCATTTTGTAGCTGTCTTGTTAGAAGTGCACAGATGACACCTTAAACCGCAGCATCCGTTTGTGAGTTCAGACGCTTCTTCCTATGTGAAGGCGGCTAACAGATTTCTCTGGATTTCTTAATGAAACCTTCCTTATGCTCCAACAGCATGTCAAATCTCAGAAATCACTTGTCACCACTCACTCAAATCTAACATTCACACATGCTTGCTGTTTGTTCAAACCCTTCCTGGGATGTCCCCTACACCTTCCGTCCACCTTGAGTGGTAGGCTGTATTCTACTCCAAAGAATGGAATCCACAACAGTCAACTAACACCCAGGTTCCTATCTACTGTTGTGTGTTTACCCCTACAGCACACCCTGTATGGGAATCAAACCTGGACTTTGTATTGTGAACAAGGAAGGAGGGGAGAAAAGAATGAAAGAGAAAGGAGGGGAAGGAATAGGAGGAAGAAGAGGATGGGGAAGGAGTAGGAGGAAGAAGAGGATGGAGGAGTTGGAGGATGGGGAAGGAGGAGAGAGGAGTATATGAGGGAGGTATTGGGGAAGGAAGAGGGAGGGAGGCTGGTAACACCTCCCTCAGTCACCTTAATGTGGTTGAACCATTTTTTTTTCTTTACACCACATACCCATCCTGTGTGTGGTAGTCAAAAGATTACAGAGGTACATAATGGGTCCAGGGACTGAGCCCCAAAGTTTTGATAGCTGAACAAGGTACAGTATTATACACTATACAGTGGAACCTCGGTACGTGACCTTAATTCATTCCCGAAGGCTGTTCGAGTTCCATTCTATTTGAGTATTGAACAAGTTCTCCCCAACCAATTTTCTGTTTGGTTGGTTGTTATCACTAATTGTCGTAGGCCCCATGGCGACTTATTTATACAAATAGTACAAAAAAGCCCAAAAAATGCAAAGAAACACGAAAAGTTTACAGCGAAGTTCTGGCAGGTCGTATTTGTTTGGTCGAGTGCTGAGCTTTGTTTGAATAGGGAGCTGGTCATATATCGAGGTTCCACTGTATATGAGTAATTGTTAATAAATACCTGTTCTGTGCATTTTATTGGGGTAATAATTTACTTAAAATTTACTCATGAGATAAATTTTGGTAATGAAGAATAAATCATGTATTATTTTTATGTTAACTGGTATTTATTTTAGCCTAAGATAAACGTAGCAGCAATAGTATTAGAAAAATATTGTACAGTCAGACTCCCAAATTTGCAGGGTTCCTAATTCAAGGAGTTTTGTTATCTTTTTTACGTGGCTTACAAACAGCAGTCTAAGATCCATAAATGAGAAACACCAATATGAAAAACTATATAGGCAGGGCTTCATAACTAAAGAACTTAGTAAAAGCTATACATCAGTCCTCACCCAACTAATAAGAATGTCCAAGCAATTGTACTATTCTAATAGATTCATTGAAAAGAGAGGAGATATAAAAAAGACCTGGAAGACACTCAGATTCTGGGCACCCAAAAGCTGAACAAAACTAAACCAAACGAATCACAACTCCAGCCTTCTGAAACAGCTAACAAGATAAATGATTTCTTCTCAGCCATAGGATTAAGTTGCACTAGTAAAATTCCAAGCACCAGTACCTGGAAAGTTCCCAACATTCCTCTATCTTGCTCCAACTAAGCCCACTGAAGTCACCAGGAAAACCAGGAATATAGCTCAGGTTCCACCACTATTGTTTAAACAAGTGGCTCATGTCCTCTCACCCACCATAGCATTACTTTTTAACAAATCACTAGAAACCAGCACTTTCCTGACATTACTCAAGATAGCAAGGGTTACGCTCTAATATGCAAAGGTGGAGACCCAACAGTTATAAACAGTTACAGGCCAGTATCTAACTTATCCTTGCTATCCAAAATCTTTGAGAAAACATACATCAGAGAGTATACTCCTTTATAACATCACAAAGTATTCTCAACCCCCTGCTAGTTTAGCTTTAGGCAAAACAAAAGCATATATGATGCAATTATAAAAATGCTAGACCTGCTTTACACATCATTTGAAAATAATGAATATCCACCAGGACTTTATTGACCTAAGGAAAGCTTTTGATACAGTAGACCACAGCATCCTACATCACAAATTTGATCATTATGGTATCAGAGATCATGCACTTGCATATATAAAGTCTTACCTTACTAAGAGACAGTAATACTGTACTTCTCTGTTAAGGACACTACCTCTTCAACAAGACCTCTGGACATTGGCATTCCACAGGGAAGCATCCTTCTCCCCCCCTTGTTTTCCTCCTATACATCAACGACCCTCCAGATGTAGTTCAACAATTTAGACCTATTCTCTTTGCTTACGACACAACTTTTGTCATCTCCCACTGAGATCCAGCATCACTCAACAACATTGTTAATGAAGAGCTCTTAAAAATATCAGTCTAGATGACTACCAATAAACTCTCACTTAACATTGACAAAACCTTCTACATTATGTTTGGGAGCAGAGCAAGTAGTGTCCAACTAAACATTATGATTAACAGTATGTGCCCTTATTATGTTTACGTAATAAGGGAAAATTTCTGAGTCTGCACCTTGACAGCAACTCGAAATTCAACACTCACATCCATCACAGCAAAAAAAGTGTCCGAAACAGTTGGCATCCTGTCAGACATAGGTTATTATGTACCACAAATAGCACTATTTACATTATACCATTCACTGATCTACCCCTTCCTCACTTGCGCTATTTGTGCCTGGAGATCCACAACAGCATATTACCTGCAGCATATCACAGCTGCAGTATGAATGATCACACAGTCCACTGCTAGACAACACACCCTCTCACTCTTCAAAGATCTAAATCTTCTTGTTATATAAAACATTCACTCTTACTACTGTGCATCCTACACATACAGAACAATAAATTCTAATATTAATCCCGACTTGAAGCACTTTCTTGATAGTTGCAACAGGACCCATAGACATAATACTAGGCACAGAAATCTCTATGACATACCCAGTGTCCAGCTTAACCTATGTAAAAATTCAGTGTACATAAAAGGGACCAAAATCTTGAACTCCCTTTCCAGAAATTTCTTGAGCCACTCTCTCAGTCAGCATCTTCAAAACTACCATTAAAAAACACCTTCCCTCCCTGACATATCCCAACATCAGCTAAATATGAAAAAACTATGTATCTATATTCTCAGTAAAGCTAAAGATAAAGGTTTATTTCTTTGTAAAGGTTACAATGTGTCATTACAATTTTGGTTTGCTAAGTTCAAAGAAAGCCACTGTTATGCTGGGGCATTTCGGGCAGACTAATCCTAATACATAGTACTACTTAAAACTAGACAGATAATAGTACATAGTAACTATTTAAAACTAGACAGATAATAGTACATAGTAACTACTTAAAACTAGACAGATAATAGTACATAGCAACTACTTAAAACTAGACAGATAATAGTACATAGTAACTATTTAAAACTAGACAGATAATAGTACATAGTAACTACTTAAAACTGGACAGATAATAGTACATAGCAACTACTTAAAACTAGACAGATAATAGTACATAGTAACTACCTAAAACTAGACAAGATAGTAGTGGTTAACTGCATTACAATTTTATTTAATCTTAATACTAATGCGAGGTAGTCAAGGTGGAGGTTTGCAAGGGTATTAATACTAATGCGAGGTAGTCAAGGTGGAGGTTTGCAAGGGTATTAATACTAATGCGAGGTAGTCAAGGTGGAGGTTTGCAAGGGTATTAATACTAATGCGAGGTAGTCAAGGTGGAGGTTTTAAGAGTAACAATTCTGAAGTTGCATATAATAAAAACTATACATGTATAACAAATAATGGTTCAAGCAGTAATTTTTCATGGACTGGCAGAAGTTTAAAAGTATAGAGGTCACATGATATAACTAGTTAGCATTTGTTTTGATTGAATTGGTTAGTATTGAGAGATAAGATGATTTTTTAGTAAAGTCCTAAATTTATAAGTAGTCAGGGGATCCTTTACTGGTTCCGGTAGCAACTTCCAGATATTCGGGCCCTTTATATGCATAGCATTTTTGCATAGTGTGAAACTGACATGAGGAATCTTGAAGAGTGCCTTATGCCTTGTATTGTGACTGTGCATTCTGTTGTGACTGTCAAGGAATAGTTTAAGTGAAGGGTTTATAGTGGAATTTAATGTTTTATATGTAATAGGCACAATAATATGAGTGTATGTCTCGTATATTTAGTAAGTTCAGGTTTTGAAAAGTGGCAGGGTGGGCTGTCTAGCACAGGAACTGATAATCATCCACACAGCAGCTTTTTGTTGGGTTATTAAAGGTTTAAGGTGGTTGGCTGTGGCTGATCCCCAGGCACAAATACCATAGGTGAGGTAAGGATATATTAAAGAGTGATATAGGTTAAGGAGTGTCATTTGTGGTACATAGTATTGTATCTTGGAAAGTATGCCTACTGACAGCATGAAGTATGTTTTGTCTATGTTGAGAGTGAGTTTGTTGGTCATCATCCAAGTATACATATATATTTTTAGCAGCTCGTTGTTTACAGTGTTTCTAAGTACAGCTGGGTTCGAATGGGAGTAGACATAAGTAGTATGTATATTCTTATTCTCAGTATCTGTAATTCTCATGACCATTAAAATATTGAATGTGTTCACATTATGTTAATATGATAGGTTCCTTATTGCCTATAATCATAATCAAACCTGTAATTCTTAAAACAATTTAACTTGATAAAAGCCATACAGCATGTCCTAATAGGATATTCAAGTCTCTTGTATTCACTGCAACTCATAATTTTATTTTTACAACCACCTAAGAGACTGGATATATAAGCACTCAATTAGTCATTGCCTTATTATTCATAAGATAGTCCTAAGTTTGCCCGAAATGCTCTGCATATTAAGGGGCCTTCTGCATGCACACCTAAATATCATTCACCTCTGTACAAACATTGTATCATGCTGATATAAAGAATCTTAATCTTAAATTGTCTTTTTTCTTTCCTTGCTTTCCAGTGTTTTCACTGGTTGCCCATTTTTTGAAGCTTTACCACTTGACCCTTAACCCTTTCAGGGTCCGTCCCGTAGATCTACGGCTTTACGTTCAGGGTCCAAACCGTAGATCTACGCCATGAGCTCAGCTCACTCTGATAAACTGTGAGTGGTACATTTGGGCCTAGATATGAGAGAATACATCTATGTGGTATGTGTGCACCACATAAAACAGATCCTGCAGCACACTGTGTATAATGAGAGAAAAAAAATGAAATCATGATTTTTCGATTAAAACAGCAACTTTGCAGTGTTTTTTCGTATGTTTTTTATAGATGTATTTGCGATTTCTTGGTCTCATTTGATAGAATGGAAGACATATTACAGAAATAGAGATGATTTTGATTGGTTTTAGCACTGGAAATGGCTTGAAACTGAGCTCAAAGTAGCAGAAATGTTAAATTTTTGCCGATATTCAAGAGTAAACAAACGACCTCACACGTCTAATACACGTCAGCTGGTGGGTCTAATATACATTCACAAATATGGTGATGATATTTATACAATCATTACAGTATTGCATAACAGTAAATCTTCTATTTTTTGGTGTGAATAAAAATTCATTATGTGAATAAAAAATCAAAATGGAATTTATTTGTAAAGCCTCAAAACATAACTAATGAACAGAGGAAATGTTAGTTTAGTGCCAGGAATACCTACATTGTTCATTCTGGACCCTATTTTGAAATTGGAATATTTTGAACTTTGTGTTAAATTGGCCAAATTAACAATTTCCAATCACTTTATTTTGTAGTTGAAACAGTTGACTTGGCAATTTCTTGTGCTCAATCGATAGAATAGAAGTAATACTAGTGAAATAGCTAAGAATTTGGTTGATTGGAATAATGTAATTGGCCTAAAATGGGAGTCAAAGTCGGCAAAATCGCCAATTCGTAAATATCGCTGACACATCAAAATTCGCGAGAGCATAATTTCGTCAATTTTCCACCAAATTTCGTACTTTTTGTTTTATTACCTTCACAAAAAGATTCTCTACGATTTCATAAGAAAAAATAACAAATTTTTTTTTTTTAAATTCTTGGACACTGGTGCGTGACTCCAGATTTGGGCCTTGGACCCTGAAAGGGTTAATTGAAAGCTATCCATAGGGTTTTGTGCAAAATATGCTCAGTGGCTTTCCCATGACTAACCTTTCTTCTTTCTTGTTAGTTTTTCTTATGAATGTCAAAATTCACCAGATGAAAATGGTATTTAAAGAGATAGGGGCTCTAAAAAAAAAATCAGCAAAAGTCTAAAACAAAATTCATTAGGCAAAAATAATCTCCTTCTGAATTTGGAACTCTAACTGTATTAATAAAAGCAAACATAAGCTCTGCATTATTGAACCTTAGCTTAAATTCCTTTTTTCAGCTCGCCACATCTCAGCAAGAGCAGGAGCAGTATTGCAGAGTACTGCTAGAGCCACCATTGTTTCTCTTAACCCTGATTTGGCCTTCACAGGACATAAGTAAGTAAAGTACATTAATTTTTACTTTCATTACACCAGTTTAATGGCACTGAATGAGTTATGCTAACAACTGGATGAGTGACTGGAGACACCTTTCATTGCCTGATGGGATCTCAGTAACCCATAGGTTTTGTAGATGTCTTAGATACATGCAACCAAATTAGTCTTTACACCCTGTCAGGGGGAAGGAATATGTAAGATTTATCAAAGTTTTCCTAGCAAAGGAAAGTTTCTGTCCATGTGGACATCCAGTTGTCAATTGCCTGATTCAGCAGGACTTGGCTCAGGGAGCTTCATTCCTGTTCTATAACTTTTTCAAGTTACAGCTTATCCTCACTTAACGATGGAGTTCTGTTCCTAATACTATGTTGGTAAATGAATTCATCACTAAGTGAGGAGCATACTGCATTGGTAGTATCTATTATCTTTGATATTGTTTTAATGTCACCTTTGCATTATTTATAACATTTCTGGTATATTTTTAAATGTTTATATAGTAGTGTATTGTATATTGTAATAAATAGAATAGAGGAAATCATCTCTAATATACATTATTTAAGTAAGCATAGTGGTCAGAGAGCCCATCGTAAGTCTGAGCCGTCGGTAAACGAGTACATACATTGCTAAATGAGGAGAGGCTGTATTCACACATCTTTCCTGTGCACTGCCATACCATTCTCAGCTGAATCTGACTATCTCTTTTTTGTCTCATTCATGCCTGTTGTTCATGTATTGAGCAATTGAGCAATTTTCACTTAATATGCTTGCCATGTTAAAAATCTGTTAGTTAGTTCAGCTGCTCTTATTCCTGTTATGCACCTGCATACAGTCCTGCTTCCTTAATTTTATACTTTTTACTCTTACATAACATAAAAAATACATCACTAATGCTTACAGTAAATCTTTAAATGTACTGTACATTAATGTTCTACTCCTATCACATCATGGCAAATTGATTAGTTTAAGCCTTTCCAGCAAGCTCCAAAATACCTCACAATACGTGTACAAAACATATAATGTGAGGTATGTTTTATGATCTTTTATTTGATCATTAATGCTGTAGAGGTACAGGAATAGGAACAGGAACTTCAGCTCCTGCTTCACTTTGTTACAAAGCTTAATTTTTTTTGCCCTAGAATTTGCACTGCCAATTAATTTACATCCAGGGCCAGAGTTACTATTGGGTATGCAAGGATATACCTGGAGGGTGTTCTGGGGGTCAACACCCCCGCAGCCCAGTCCATGACCAGGCCTCGCAGTAAATCAGGGCCTGATCATCCAGGCTGTTACTGTCAGTTGTATGCAAAAGGTGAATGGAGTAACAGAACTTTCCCTGAGGTGTCCTATGCCACATCATTTTAAGTTAAATGTTCTCTTAGGTGTCATTTTCTTCTTTAGCTTGTGGTACAATATATCAGTACTACAATCATCATTCCTCAGTCCTTTCACTGAAAGCAGCCTTGAGACACTATATCTTTTGGAAAGGTCTAATTTTTTAAGTACCTCACAGAGATTGACAGCTCAGTGCAAGAGCTTCACCTGTCATTTTTTTTCTCTACCTATATTTTCCTTGATATTCCATCAAGAAAGAGACTGCATAGTCATACATATTGACATTACACATTCATCTTACTATCCAGCTTAATTGAATCATCCAGTTATATTTCTCTTTTAATATGTAGACACTCTTAGAAATATATACAGTGGAACCTCAAAAATCGAACGTATCACAAATCGAACGTTTCGAAAATAGAACCATTTTTTCAGACAAATTGTGTCCCTATTATTGAACGCGCCCCTATTTTCGGACCGCTGGGTACGGGACCTGTCTACCGGCCCACTCTGTCCGCGTCCCTGCGCAGGCGCCGTGAGCAGTCTAGCTTTGTTTATGCTTGAGTGAACACTAACCTACACTCTCATTCACGCATTTTACAATTATTTCGTTGTGTTTAGTGCTTGTGGGACTGTGAAATAAGCTGCCATGGGCCCAAAGAAACTTGCTAGTAGTACCCCTGTGGTAAAGAAAGTGAGAAACACCATAGATGTGAAGAAGGAAATAATACAGAAGTATGAGAGTGGTGTGAGACTTGTTGAGCTTGCCAGGATGTATGGGAAAAACAAGTCGACCATCGGTTCTATCCTGTCAAAGAAAGAACAAATCAAGGAAGCTGATGTTGCAAAAGGTGTTAATATGGGGAGTGGATGAGGTGCCTTCTTCAAAGATTAAGGAGATTTGTGCCAAGTGGAATGATGTCCAAATGTTTGTGCAGAAGTACCACCCTGAGCAAGCTGAAACAAGCCATCTTTGCAACAAGTTCAGTGACAGAACCATGTCCCATTTTAGGGAAATGTTAAAGAGGTGCCAGAAACAGAGAACTGTGGACAGTTATTTTGTGAGACAGGGGTCCAGTGACTCTCAAGCTGGTCCTAGTGGCATTAAAAGACAGAGAAGGGAAGTAACCCCAGAGAGGGCTTTACCTGAGGTCCTCATGGAGGGGGATTCTTCTTCCAAACACTAACCCCAACTCCCTCTCTCCTCCTCCCTATCTTCCAGATGCCATCATCAATCTTCAATAAAGGTAAGTAAAAATGTTATTTTATATGTATTACTATACATAATTAAAAAATATAGTATTTGTTGTATGTAAAACTATAATTAATCTCTATAAAATGTATTTTTTGTGTGAATATTTTTGGGTTTCTGGTACGGATTAATTGTATTTCCATTATTTCTTATGGGAAATATTGCTTTGAATTTCAGACTTTTCGAATTTAGAACTAGCTCCTGGAACGGATTAAATTTGATTTTTGAGGTTCCACTGTAATCAAATGAGGCCTGGTCACAGACTAGGCCACAGGGGCATTGACCCCCAAAACCCTCAACAGGTATACCACTTAAAATATACTATTACAATAAGCCTGAAAATATTTATGGTCATCAGTGAACATTGGAGAATATTTTTATGAATAAATTTAAATAATGCAGAAATTTTCATAAGTAAGAAAAATTTGGGAAAAGTGATTAAGGCAAATTAGCAAACACCCTTCTAATCCATAATGTAGGACTTATTATAACAATAACAATGTGTTACTGAATTATTAAATCTTACTATAATCAACAGGGATGCATCTGTGATGATACAGACCCAAATTCAGCCAGATACCCTGCCAGGCAAAGGTGTCCCATGGTGGGTCATTCTCCTAGCAGTCCTTGGAGGACTTTTGCTTCTGGTTCTTCTTGCATATGCACTATACAAAGTAAGGAATCATCATTACCTCTTTTATTACAGTATGCCAGTGTTTTCTTTTTTTTTTTTTTTTAACAAGTTGGCCGTCTCCCACTGAGACAGGGTGATCCAAAAAGAAAGAAAATCCCCAAAAAGAAAATACTACTTTCATCATCATTCAACACTTTCACCTCACTCATATATAATCATTGTCTTTTCAGAGGTGCTCAGATATGACAGGTGTTTCTTTTATAAACATATAAATTATTTGCAAAAGGAGAGCAGATGATAGAGTAGGAAAGGCACTGTCAAGAAATTTTGATGAAAATTTGAAAAAATTTGGGAGTGAGATAAACAAGTTAAGAAAGCCTAGGGAACGAATGGATGTGTCAGTTAAAAACTGAGTAGGGGAGTTAGTAGATGGGGATCTGAAACTTTTAAATGTTGATGAAGAAAGGAAGGTGGCAATTTCATGCACTGGCCAGGGAGGTATAACATCTTTTAGGAGTGAAGAAGAGCAGGATGTGAGTGTGGGGGAGGTGCATGAGGCATTATGTAGAATGAAAGGGGTAAAGCAGCTGGAACTGATGGGATCATGACAGAAATGTTAAAAGCAGGGAAGGGGATATAGCGTTGGAGTGGTTGGTATTTTTGTTTAACCCTTAAACGGTCCAAACAGATTGACGTTCAAATTCATAGTGCTACAAAAGTAGATCTACTTTTTTTTACATATTTTCAAATATAACAAAAAAAATATAGATAAAAGTTTTTTTACACGTTTTCACATGCAAAACAACAAAAAAAAAGATCTACATTTTTTACATACTTTCAGATGTTGAAAAAACATATATACAGTGGACCCCCGCATAACGATCACCTCCCAATGCGACCAATTATGTAAGTGTATTTATGTAAGTGCGTCTGTACATGTATGTTTGGGGGTCTGAAATGGACTAATCTACTTCACAATATTCCTTATGGGAACAAATTCAGTCAGTACTGGCACCTGAACATACTTATGGAATGAAAAAATATCGTTAACTGGGGGTCCACTGTATATACGTTTGGACCATTTAAGGGTTAATAAATGTATGAAAGAGGGGAAGGCACCTAGGAATTGGCAGAGAGCATGTATAGTTCCTTTATATAAAGGGAAGGGGACAAAAGAGATTGTAAAAATTATAGGGGATTATGTTTACTGAGTATACCAGGAAAAGTGTACGGTAGAGTTATTATTGAAAGAATTAGAGGTAAGACAGAGAGTAGGATTGCGGATGAGCAAGGAGGCTTTGGAGTGGGTAGGAGATGTGTAGATCAAGTGTTTACATTGAAGCATATATGTGAACAGTATTTAGATAAAGATAGGGATACACAAATAACCCGCACATAGAAGAGAGGAGCTTACAACGGCGTTTCGGTCCAACTTGGACCATTTACTTTGTAAACGTCATCGTAAGCTCCTCTCTTCTATGAGCGGGTTATTTGTGTATCATTCCAGTCACGGTATTGTGCCTTCTTTTGTTATAAAGGTAGGAAAGTTGTCATTGCCTTTATGGATATAGAAAAGATATATGATAGAGAGGATAGGGAAGCAATGTGGCAGAAGTTGCAAGTACAGTGGACCCTCGGCTAACGAACGCATCGCATAACATTAAATCCGCCCAACGAAGCGTTTGAGCGTAAAAATTTTGGCCTGGTTAATGATAAAAAACTCGCTCAACGTGATTCATCCCGAACCTGTCTGTCCAGCCTGAGCGCCTCAGCTGCCCTGCCGTCATTGTTTACAAGCCAGGGTGGCCGGTTTCATGCATACATTCGATACATTTTGTATTATTCCATTGTTTATAGTGCTTGTAACTGCTAAATAAGCCATCATGGTCCCAAAGAAAGCTTCTAGTGCCAACCCTGTGGTTAAAAGGGTGAGAAATACTATTGAAATACTATTGTACCACAGTCAGCTGCTGCTGCACCACCATCAGCTGCTGCTGCACCACTGTCAGCTGCTGCTGCACCACTGTCAGCTGTACTACTCGAAGATGTGGAGAGACTGTTGTTGGTGTGGCTTAATGAGAAACAATTACTGAGAAAAAATTAACCCCAGAAGGTTAGCCACCCAGAATAACCCAAGAAAGTCATTGAGTCATCTAGAACTGTCTAACTTATTTCCATTGGGGTTCATAATCTTGTCCCCCAGGATGTGACCCACACTAGTCGACTAACACCCAGGTGAACAAGAAAAAATGCCTGGAATAGTGCACATATTGGTGAATTTAAGACAAGCAAAGGTTGGTTTGAGAGATTTAACCCTTAAACTGTCCAAATGTAGATCTATGTTTTTTCAACATTTGAAAGTATATAAAAAAGTAGATCTGTTTTTTTTTTTTTTTACATTTAACCCTTTCAGGGTCCAAGGCCAAAATCTGAAGTCACGCACCAGTGTCCAAGAAATTTTGAAAAAAAAAAATTATTTTTTCTTACAGAATTAAAGAGCATATTTTTGTGAAGGTAATAAAACAAAAAAAATTAGAATCTGATCATTACTTACCGAGATACAGTGCCAAGAAGTTTATAGAAAATGATGTGGTGGCGGCAACGTCGACAAATTCCACATACTCGTATTATATTATTTTGTTGTTTTAGTTGTTTTTTCTTTTCTTTTCCAATTTTTTTCTATTCCTACTAACATTTGGGGCCTGAGAGACCAATACTGTATATAATTGATATATATATATACTCACTGTATTGAACACAATAACCGCACTAAAGTTATTATCATATTATTGTTTACCACTGTTGTTTATTACAATAAACATGCACAAATATTGTATAATACTAATGTTCTATCATATATTTACATATTTACAATCACTGGACATGGTTTTAGAACTGCTGGAGCTTGTGGAATTCCTTGAAACAAGGCACCATGCACAGAGGCACCTTACATTCCTCACACATAAACCAAGTGTCTTTGCGTCTTTGTTGCCGTCGTTTTGTTTGTGCACAGACAATGCATCTCTTCTGAGCAAATTTCTTTTGAGTTGAAGGAAGCTGTATTATGAAATGATCACCTTCTCTCCTCAAACGCTTGGGTATATTGTGATGAATTCGAGGACCATGTTGTATTGCAGGTGTTGTTACCTGGTACTTTATTATGAGTTGTCTGACAACAGACAAACAAAATTCACCATACGGTGGTCTGTTACCAGTCTTTATTTGGTACATATTATATGCATTCAGCATTGAAATGCCCATGAGATGGAAGAAAAGTTTCATGTACCACCTGTAACTCTTACGAACACAGTCAACAAAACCAATCTGCATGTCACACTTGTCAACCAAGCACATGTTTTGTGTATAATCAATCACTGACACTGGTTTTCGAATACGTTCATTAGTCACTCGATCAACTTTGCCACTGTCTTGCATTTCATTACGGTGAATGGTTGTCAACAATGTGACATCTCGTTTGTCATGCCACCGTAATGCCATGATGTCATTGGCAGTAAACACCTGCACGTCATCACCACGAACACCTGCGTTGAGCCTGGGCATATGTTTACGATTAGAATGCACTGTGCCACACACATCTGTCTTGTTCACTCGCATGAAATCACTGAGTAATGGGCTTGTGTACCAGTTATCGGTATATAATGTATGGCCCTTACCAAGATAAGGTGCCATCATGTTTCTCACCTGAGATACCCAATAACATCTTGGTATCTTTCAATGTTTTACTACCCGTGTATACAACAATATCCAACACCAGGCCACTGTCACAATCACAGAGTACAAACAATTTTATACCAAAGCGGTTCCTCTTGCTCGGTATATACTGCTTGAATGACAGTCTACCTTTGAACAAAATCAAAGACTCGTCAATTACAAGATTCTTGAATGGATAAAAGTATATCCTGAACTTTTGTTTGAGATACATGAAAACATTTCTAATCTTGTATAACCTGTCACTTCTGTCAGGCCTGGTTTTGTCAGAGAAGTGCAACATACGTAACAGTAAGATAAACCTGTTCACTGGTATTATTTCACTGAAGGATGGGGTACAAATTAGCCGATCTGTGGACCAGTATGCTTTTATATTATGCTTATAGACGTGAGGCATAAGCATTATTGTTGCAAAAAGCAAATACATTTCTGCAACAGTCGTCTCTTCCACCTGTGTAGTCTTGACTGTGGTGATAAGATCGTATTTGCCATGGTGTACTGAAAATACTTATTACTTTCCCTGACAATAATTTCCATCAATGGCTGGTCAAAGAATAATTCAAAGAATTCCAGTTCATTGGCCGTGGTTCCAAGGGGACAGGTAGGTAGAATTCCACTTTGAGAGTCATCAAAGTGGTGAGGGCTGGGAACAAAATTGGGATTTTGCTGCCAATCCCAGATACGGTTTGCTGGTGGATACTGGACATCATAGGCTGGTTGTACGGGTGGTTGTGGCGGGCTGGTGGGTGATGCTCGGTGGCCTGGTGGCTAAAGCTCCCGCTTCACACACGGAGGGCCCGGGTTCGATTCCCGACGGGTGGAAACATTCGACACGTTTCCTAACACCTGTTGTCCTGTTCACCTAGCAGCAAATAGGTACCTGGGTGTTAGTCGACTGGTGTGGGTCGCATCCTGGGGGACAAGATTAAGGACCCCAATGGAAATAAGTTAGACAGTCCTCGATGACGCACTGACTTTCTTGGGTTATCCTGGGTGGCTAACCCTCCAGGGTTAAAAATCCGAACAAAATCTTATCTTATCTTATCTTGTCCTTGAACTGACGAGTCAGCAGCGTGGGTCCCCGCGTGGCACAGTGAGTCACGCATGGCGGTGCCACTACCACCACCAGCACCACTAACACCATCCACTGATGCCTGTGGCCCATCCATGCCAAGTGTAGCCACATCATCCTCACTATCACTACCTAAAATGGGTGTAGGGCCACGGGATGTACTCCGTCCCCTGGGCACAGCATAGGGTACACTACCCGAGCGCATGCGGCGGCGAACATACCGACGCTTCACTGGTGAATATGTTTCCTCACTATCACTACTCGAATGATCGTCGAGCGCAATAAAATCACAATCCACATCAGAATCATCGTCATTACTGAAGTCAGAGGCCTGGCCACGGGAAAATATTAGTTTTCTCTTACGTTTAGGAACACCCGACCGTGAGTCACGAGTGCCCACACCAGAGGTAGAAGGTCGAGGATCGTCGGGGTTTTCTGCACTATTATCGATATCCTGGTCATTATTTTCGGTCACTAGCTTATCAAAGCCATAGAATTCGTCTTCATTTCCACTTCCATCAGTGTCAGAACTATCAGACAGGAAGAGGAGAGTCCCAGTTTTCCGGGGAGTGAGAGCTGACTTGCGACGAGGCATGGTGAACAAGGGTGACTGAGCCGGCGTTCCCACAATGCTATGCAGGTGCCTAGATTTTTTGTTTATGGCGCACACCCACGGTGCAGACCCATTCTCTCACATGTAGGCCTATGAGCGCTTTCGCGCTAAATTTGATGGCGCTAGAATTTTGGCATAGATCTACGGTTTGGACACTCACCGAAAAGCCGTAGATCTACGGGACGGACCCTGAAAGGGTTAAAAACGTCTAAAAAAAAAGACTTTGATCTACATTTTTTTTTTGTTATACAGCGGTCCCTCGTTTATCGTTGTTAATCCGTTCCTGGAAGTGCGAAGATTATCGACGATTATCACACTCGTTGAAGGCTTTCGCAAAGTATGTGTATACTACATCTGCATTTGTTTGTCCTCCAGAGTATCCAAGACCATGTCATAGTGGTCCATTAGTTGAGACAGGCAGGAGCGACCTTCTCTAAACCCATGCTGTCCTGGGTTGTACAACTGATGGGTATCCAAGTGGGTGGTAATCTTGCGTCTTAGAACCTTTTCAAATATTTTTATGATATGGGATGTTAATGCTATCTATCTGTAATTCTTTGCAATTGCTTTACTCCCACTTTAGTGGAGTGGGGCAATGTCTATTGTTTTTAGTGACTGTGGGATGATCATGTCCACGCTCCCTTTCCGTAGGATGCTAATGATATGTGAAAGGGGCTTCTTTCAGTTCATGATAAATATGGCATTCTACGAGTCTGGGCCTGGGGTAGAGTGCATGGGCATGTCATTTATTGCTTTCCAAAGTCTCGTGGTGTTAGGATAATGCAGTGGTACCTCGGGATATGAACAACTCAAAACTTGAACAGTTATGTAAGTGTATTTATGTAAGTGCTTTTGTAAGTGTACTTTTGGGGGTCTGAAATGGACTAATCTAATTTACATTATTCCTTATGGGAACAAATTCGCTCGGTATCAGCACTCGAACAGCCTTCTGGAACAAATTAAGTTCATATCCCGAGGTACTACTGTATCAGAGATTTTTTAATTAACCAAAATTTGAGTCTCGGACGAAAAAAATTCATTTAGATTCTTGACTCTTAGTCTGGTTAATGACTCACTAAATGTTGAGCCATATTGGGACTTTAGTATCTTACTCATTTCTTTGTTGTCATCTGTGTAAGTCCCATCTCATCTAAGCAGGGGTCTGATACTGGATGTTGTTTTTACCCTAGATTTGACATAAGAAGTATTTTTTTTTTTTCAGTTTCATTTATGACTTTAAGTTCTGCCTGAGTTTCTTGTCTCCTGTATGACTCCTAAAGCTTAAGTTTGATACAGTATTTGCTATTTTTCTGATCAGTGGATCCTTTTGTATTTCAGTATACATGCTGGCCCCTTTCAGCAGCTCTGATTCTTTGCCATCACCTGTATAGGAAGCATCTCTCTCTTTCTAGTTTACATCTTTTCCTTTTTCTTGAAGAAATGTGCCTTGAACATACTTTTAGTGCTGCCACAGAGTAAAATCTTTCCAGCTTATTTCATTTAGGACATGTTTGATTTGATCCCACTATATGTTTTTGGTATTGAAGTTGAATTTTTTGAAGGCACCCTCATAACTGATCACCTTTCGCTGGTCAGGGACCCTGTGCATACATGTCTAAAAAAAAAGACTTTGATCTACATTTTTTTTTTGTTATACAGCGGTCCCTCGTTTATCGTTGTTAATCCGTTCCTGGAAGTGCGAAGATTATCGACGATTATCACACTCGTTGAAGGCTTTCGCAAAGTATGTGTATACTACATCTGCATTTGTTTGTCCTCCAGAGTATCCAAGACCATGTCATAGTGGTCCATTAGTTGAGACAGGCAGGAGCGACCTTCTCTAAACCCATGCTGTCCTGGGTTGTACAACTGATGGGTATCCAAGTGGGTGGTAATCTTGCGTCTTAGAACCTTTTCAAATATTTTTATGATATGGGATGTTAATGCTATCTATCTTCGCACTTCCAGGAACGGATTAACAACGATAAACGAGGGACCGCTGTATAACAAAAAAAAAATGTAGATCAAAGTCTTTTTTTTTAGACATGTATGCACAGGGTCCCTGACCAGCGAAAGGTGATCAGTTATGAGGGTGCCTTCAAAAAATTCAACTTCAATACCAAAAACATATAGTGGGATCAAATCAAACATGTCCTAAATGAAATAAGCTGGAAAGATTTTACTCTGTGGCAGCACTAAAAGTATGTTCAAGGCACATTTCTTCAAGAAAAAGGAAAAGATGTAAACTAGAAAGAGAGAGATGCTTTCCTATACAGGTGATGGCAAAGAATCAGAGCTGCTGAAAGGCCAGCATGTATACTGAAATACAAAGGATCCACTGATCAGAAAAATAGCAAATACTGTATCAAACTTAAGCTTTAGGAGTCATACAGGAGACAAGAAACTCAGGCAGAACTTAAAGTCATAAATGAAACTGAAAAAAAAAAAAATACTTCTTATGTCAAATCTAGGGTAAAAACAACATCCAGTATCAGACCCCTGCTTAGATGAGATGGGACTTACACAGATGACAACAAAGAAATGAGTAAGATACTAAAGTCCCAATATGGCTCAACATTTAGTGAGTCATTAACCAGACTAAGAGTCAAGAATCTAAATGAATTTTTTTCGTCCGAGACTCAAATTTTGGTTAATTAAAAAATCTCTGATACAGTGGTACCTCGGGATATGAACTTAATTTGTTCCAGAAGGCTGTTCGAGTGCTGATACCGAGCGAATTTGTTCCCATAAGGAATAATGTAAATTAGATTAGTCCATTTCAGAAGCGTGGGTGATGAATGTTGCAGCGAGGAGAAGGCTGGAGGCAGTGGAGATGTCATGTCTGAGGGCAATGTGTGGTGTGAATATAATGCAGAGAATTCGTAGTTTGGAAGTTAGGAGGAGGTGCGGGATTACCAAACTGTTGTCCAGAGGGCTGAGGAAGGGGTTGTTGAGGTGGTTCGGACATGTAGAGAGAATGGAGCGAAACAGAATGACTTCAAGAGTGTATCAGTCTGTAGTGGAAGGAAGGCGGGGTAGGGGTGGCGCCTAGGAAGGGTTGGAGGGAGGGGGTAAAGGAGGTTTTGTGTGCGAGGGGCTTGGACTTCCAGCAGGCATGCTTGAGCGTGTTTGATAGGAGTGAATGGAGACAAATGGTTTTTAATACTTGACGTGCTGTTGGAGTGTGAGCAAAGTAACATTTATGAAGGGATTCAGGGAAACCGGCAGGCCGGACTTGAGTCCTGGAGATGGGAAGTACAGTGCCTGCACTCTGAAGGAGGGGTGTTAATGTTGCAGTTTAAAAACTGTAGTGTAAAGCACCCTTCTGGCAAGACAGTGATGGAGTGAATGATGGTGAAAGTTTTTCTTTTTCGGGCCACCCTGCCTTGGTGGGAATCGGCCGGTGTGATAATAATAAAATAACCTCTGTTATGTTGTAATCTGAATGTATTGTCTTTGATACTGTTATATTTCGTATCAAATCATCATTATTAGTGAAGATGAGGTCCAGTGTATGTTCCAGTCTTGTCGGCTCCACTAATTGCTGGTTTAAGGTGAATTTTTTGCAGAGATTTAATTTGAGCTGCCTCCTACGGTTGTCCCTGCTAAAACATTATTTGCTACAGTCCTCTATTTTAGGTGTCAAGTTGAAATCACCCAGCAGCAAAATGTTTGGGGCTGGAGTTGGGAGATTTTCTAGACAGTGGTCAATTTTCAAAAGCTGTTCATGGAATTGTTGGGAAGCTGCATCAGGAGGCTTGTATACAACCACATTGACAAGGTTAGGTTTCATGCAGGCAGATGATGTAGGAGGATTTGGGCAAGAGGTTTGCAAGCATCAGTATCCCTTCATTTTTTTCTATACAGCAGTATCTTGAATCTTTATGATAGTGGCTTCCATAAATTTCTCCTGAGCCTATCATTATCATGTAGTATGTGTTGGGTTCTGTCAAAGAAGGGCATAAGGTGTGTGGTCTTATCTCCATGTATTACTCTTGTATGTTCTACATGCATAGTCTTTGAATCATGCCTTGAGATCACAAGCTCTCGCACCTACATAGAATGTAGGTGCAAATGTCAGACCACCCCTACCACTAAGGTAGGGATGGTCTGACAAGAAAGAAAACACTCAAGTGTAATGTGTAATACCTTTCCATTTTACATTAGATATAGAGGATGTGCTTCAGTGAGTCATTAGATCATTGTTTGTGCCTTTTTTGGAAGATAGCTAAGGCACAAATGATGGTGAATGTGCTTTCATCTTTTGAATACTCTGCTTTGGCTGATGTGCTAAAATAATTATTTGATGTCATGCCAGTACTGATATTCAACTTGTACAATGATAATCTTCAGAAGTTCCCTATATTTGATTCCCTGTATATAAATGATTAAATGAAAATGTATTTTCAGGCTGGATTCTTCCAACGTAAAGAATATGAAGAACTGAAAGCACAACAGGCACGTGTTGAACCTGGTGCAGACTATGGCTCCACCAATGTAGGTCTTGTTTCAGATTAAATTATCTTTGTCATATGGGTTTTTGTGTATGATGGACAACATTTTCATGTACTACTGTACTGTAGTAATAAGTAGAGTAAATGATGTATCTTACTTGTTAATAGGAAGAAACTCTATAAGATTGTATACAAAGGGTACCTTTTATATTTTAAGTTGAATAGTGAAAAAATATAACATGACAGAGACTAGAGCCATCAGTGGTATTTGACTTGTATATACAGTACGTATCCATGACCAGCTATCAATACAAAAATTCTTGAGTAATTTTTTTAATAAATTTTTGTGCAAATTATTATAACCAAAAGGAATACTGGTGTTGTAAATACTGTAAATTAACATAATTACATAAATTACAGTAAACTCTATGATTATAAAACTCCTCTTTAGTTTTTTAATATGACAGAAAAAGTACATTCAAAATTGAATAATGCATGTACGTATTAATATTGGTAGAATTACCTACAATAATGCATACTATGAAGGCCTTTCCATGCACTATTCAGTATTTATTTATTTGCTTTTTCTAATTGCATAACAAAAAAAAAAACTTTTGAGCTTTAAAGGAAACCTGACTGTGCTACAATATTTAATAATGGTAGGACATCAGTAAACCAATGTCCTGAATATAGCAGAAGAAACCCCAAAACCAACAAGGTTAAAATAAAAGTTATTATACCAGGCAAACTGATTTGAGTAAAAAAAATCAAATTATAGAACATTTAGACTAGTGAGTTACTTGCATTACCATCCAGATTTGTGAAAACCCAAACTGCTGGACAGCCATTGTTTACTCTTTCTGAGTTTACTGCTGCCTCTTTTCACCCATTTCATGCATTTGTCTTTTTTTTTTTTTTTTTTTGGTCTACATTTTTAGTTTGGAAGTGGACATATTGAAGATATTTTGGCAAGTAAATGTGCTATATTAATATTTTTACTAATTATTTTTGGTACCAATATAACATTTTTTAAACAAATTATGGTAAATTAGCAAACTTTGAAATTCAGTAGTTGTTTGGTCTCAGCCATGCCAGATGATCGATGTCTTATTGAATTATTTTTGCCAATAATAATAATAATAATATTATTATTATTATTATTATTATTATTATTGGTGTATTATAGAGAAAGTGAACAATTTGTTACATCAGTATATGTATAGGAATTAACTTTTAAAATCTCAATAGCAGCAAATTTTTCCATATTAAATTCATACCTTATGACAAAGCAATCACCAGCAATCTTACCGAGATTGGGCTGTGATTGAAGGACAGAGGATTGAACCTTCACAACAGATTGCTCAGAATGACCCACATGGGTTTAGCACTTCATAATTCATCACAAGAGTATTTTTGTGAACTTTATGATTTAATTAGATGTACCAATGTGTTTGCACCTAAGCATTTTTAAATGATGGTTATTGAATTTGTAAAAAGGAAAAACACTTAATACTGTAACTACTCAAAAGGGATGCAAAGTACTGAATAATTATTACAGTAGATTATCATGGAGGCAAAGAGGGGAATGTATGAATGTAGTGGTACCAACATTCTTATGTGGGTGTGAAGCATGAGTTGTGATTGTTGCTGTGAGGAGGCTGGAGGCAGTGGAGATGTCATGTCTGAGGGTAATGTGTGGCATAAATATTATGCAGAGAATTTTTAGTTTGGAGATTAGGAGGAGGTGTGAAGTTACTAAAACAAGTGTCCAGAGGGTTGAGGAATGGTTCTTGAGGTGGTTTGGTCATTCAGAGAGGATGGAACAAAATAGGATGATTTAGGTGTATAAATCTGTAATGGAGGAAAGGTGGGGTAGGGGTTGTCCTAGGAAAGGATGGAGGGAGGGGGTAAAGGAGGGTTTGTGTGCAAGGGGCTCTTGGACATACAGCAGGCATGTGTGTGTGTGTGTGTGTGTTAAATAGGAGTGGAGACATTATTTTTGGGACTTGACAAGCTGTTGGAGTGTGATCAAGGTAATATTTTGTAAAGGAATTCAGGGAAACCGGTTAGCCGGACATGAGACCTGGAGGTGGGAAGTACAGTGCCTGCACTCTAAAGGAGGGGTTTGGGATACTTGCTGTTTAGAGGGACATCTAAGTTGTTGTATCTGTGTGCCTCTGGCAAGACTGATAATGTGAATGATGGTGAAAGTGTTTCTTTTTTGGGTCACCTTGCCTTGATGGGAGGTGGCTTGTGTGTTAAAAAAAAACTGATCAGAGCATGTTGAAGGCAAGACTTTATATCACTACCATATTTATGAGGAATAGTTAACATCTTAGGATACAGTATTATAATTAACATGAAAAATCTTGTATACTGTTACCAGTAAAGATTTACTATAGTCATATACTAAAAAAAGAAAACTTGAAACATATTGGCTGTTCTTATAAGTTCAGTACATTGGTATAGTATTATCACTTGAAAGCTGCTCCAACATTATAGGAAAATAGCATTTTTTTTTTCTTCAAAATATCGTAAGTTGTTTTTCTCCTCTTAAGTCATTCTCATTCAAAGTTCAGTTGTACATAACCTTCTCCTTATTTTGCATATATTTTGTAATGCATGATTTGATTAATAAGTTAAAAGTTGATAAGTTCATGTGTAGGAGGAAGAAGTCGTATGCTTCAGTGTATCTCGAAGAAGTTTCTTTAGTCAGTTATACCAAAGACTTAAAATTAGTTTTTCATTCATTTAAATCTTTAGAATTTGTAGGGAATAGCCAATACTATATTGATATATTTTTTCAATAATGATGGTAGAATATCTTAAGATGTATATATATGTTCTAAGGTAAGAAACCTTTGACATGTTTCTATCAAGAGAGAAAAGGGATGAGTAAAATGCAAATATTGTGCACCTATAATTTTGTATGTCTATACTGCAACAGAAAACTTTTTATCATTATTAATATTGCTCATGTTTACAAAGTACAGCTCAGTATCACAGTAATTATTGAGTTGTCTTGACGAATTATAGTAGAATGTGAACAGATAGCTCTTCAGAACTTTGAACTTTGCTGTGTATGGCAGGAATACTGAGTGCAGTTGCTGATATTTCAGTTATGTTCACTGCCCATTTAAGAAATATAATTTGATTGTAATTAGGGGCACGATACATTTAAAAAAAAATTATAGTCTGAAATGTTTATTTAACCTTTTTTCTTTTCATGCCTACTTATGTAGAAATAATTTGATTATGATACCTGTAATATATTACCTGATAATGAGCAAAAGTTATATTGATTATTGTTGGGTAATTTAAAGTATAATATTTATATGATTTATTATGACACGTGCTGTGATCTCTCCACTTTTGTTATATTTGTAGTTTATTTCTTATTTGTGCCATATTTATCTCAAGGAGTTTAAGTTGTAACTTTTTATAATATGTATGTACTGTATATATTTTTGTGTGAACACATATGTGAATTTTTTTTTTATGATAATAAAAATTCTAATGATACTAGCCAGTATTTATTGCCCATATTTATCCTGTTATCTTACTGAATGTATTATTTGTCAAACATTTTTACTAAAAGTAACATGCTGTACATGATAACACTGCTTACCTCCATGCACTGTGATACCATATACAGGAATGACATTGTACTTTGCTATGAAACACTAAGTTATAACTGGTAAGAATATCTTTTGATTGTTCTAAGATTTTTTTTTTATTTTCTAATGATTTGTTTTAAGACAGAAAATGCTTCTTTGAATTTATTGAAAATAACTCGTATACAGTACCGAAATTCCACGAGTTGATGAAGCTTTCTGAAAAAAATGAGTATAGTATTGTTGTTCATATAGTTTCTTCTTTGCCTAACAATGCAGGTGAAATTTTTTCAATTTTCACTGACAGGAGTTGATCAGACACTTTATTATGTACCTGAGTAACAAGTGGATGTTGTGTTCAAGAGAGATCTGAGGCCCTGGAGTCAAATAAGAACAGTACAACTTTCAGTTCCAGCGCATTTACCTGTTCATAGCATGGTGCTTGTATAAGTATGATCCATAGAGGGAAAGAAGTTTTCGAGTTTTTTATGTATATAATGCTGTATAATAATATACTTGTGGGGATTGAGGAGTCAGCTCTTGGCCCTATCTCTTAACTTCAAAGTTAACTTGCATTTACTGGGCCTCTTCATTCTTACTCTTGAAAATGTATGCGGAGCTTGCTTCTGTTAACTTTTCCTCTAACTCGTGATATTTGTTTACCACCTTAAGACTGAAAAGGTATTTGCTAACATCCCTCTGACTTGCCTAAATTTTTAGCTTCCATCTTTGCCCTCTTGCCCAAGTTTCTTAGTTCAAAATGTCTGTACATGTATGCTCTGTCAAATACCTGAGTATCTTGTACATTGTTGTGCATTAGGCTATTAGATTTAACAATCAGTGTATAGTTCCAAGAATTTAAGCAATAAAGATGCAAGGTCCTGGGGACCACTATGACAAGATCCTGGATGCTCAGGAAGATAAACAAAATGCAGATGTATTATACACAGACTTTGCAAGTCTTTGATGAATGTGACCTCGAGTTTACCTGGAGAGAGTTTTGGGGGTCAATGTCCCCGTGGCCCGGTCTGAGACCAGGCCTCATGGTGGATCAGGGTCTGATCAACCAGGCTGTTACTGCTGGCCGCATGCAAGCTGATGTACGAACCACAACCCGGTTAGTCAGGTACTGACTTTAGGTGCCTGTCCAGTGCCTTCTTGAGGACAGCCAGGGGTCTATGGTAATCCCTATTATGGATGCTGAGAGGCAATTGAGCAGTCTTGGGCCCCAGACACTTATTGTGTTGTCTCTCAGCGTACTCGTTGCGCCCCTGCTTTTCATCGGGGGAATGTTGCATCTCCTGCCGAGTCTTTTGCATCCATATGGAGTGATTTTCGTGTACAGGTTTGGTACCAATCCCTCCAGGACCTTCCAAGTGTATATTATCATGTATCTCTCTCTGCGTTCGAAGGAATACAGATCAAGGCCCTTCAATCATTCCCAGTAGTTTAGGTGCCTTATCGCACTTTTGTGTGCCATGAAAGTTCTTTGTACACTCTCCAGGTCTGCAATGTCGCCACCCTTGAAGGAGGCCGTTAGTGTACAGCAGTATTTCAGCCTAGAGAGCACAAGCGATTTGAAGAGAATCATCATGGGCTTGGCATCCTTAGTTTTGAAGGTTCTTATTATCCATCCTATTATTTTCCTAGTGGATGAGGTAGATACATTGTTGTGGTCCTTCACATTACTTTTCCGCTCTATTGTATGGTTAGAATTTGTGGTATAATATAATAATAATAATAATAATAATATCTTTATTTACTACAAGTACATGTACATGGTATACAGGCCTAGCTGACATCAATGACATACTACTACATAGAAAGCCCCTTGTTATGCTCCGCATGTCGGGCAAATTAGGTCAGTGTCCCAGGATGTGACCCACACCAGTCGACCAACGCCCAGGTACCCATTTTACTGATGGGTGAACATAGACAACAGGTGGAAAGAAACATGCCCAATGTTTCTACTCTGGCTGGAAATCGAACCCAGGCCCTCGCCGTGTGAAGCGAGAGCGTTAACCACCAGGCCACCAGAGCCCCTTATACTCTGACACATTTTTAATTTCTTCAAGTTTTCCATATCTGAATAGTTGAAATTTCTCCTCATTGAACTTCATATTGTTTTGAGTGGCCCATTCGAAGATTTGGTTGATGTCCGCTTGGAGTCTCGCAGTGTCTTCGATGAAGGTCACTGCTATGGTGATCCAGGTGTCATCCGCAAAGGAAGACACGAAGCTATGGCTTACATCTCTATGTCAGAAATGAGGATGAGGAATAGAATGGGAGTGAGTACTGTGCCTTGTGGAACAGAGCTTTTTACCATGGCTGCCTGGGACTTGACTCTGTTTACTATTACTCTTTGTGTTCTATTTGTCAGGAAGTTGTAGATCCATCTACCAACTTTTTCCGTTATTTCTTTATCCGCATTTTGTGTGCTATTACACCATGGTCACACTTGTCGAAAGCTTTTGTAAAGTCTGTGTATACTACATCTGGATTTTGTTTATCCTCTACAGCATCCAGGACCTTGTCATAGTGGTCCAGTAGCTGGGACAGGCAGGAGCCACCTGCTCTAAACACGTGTTGCCCTGGGTTGTGTAATTGATGGGTATCTAGGTGGTTGGCTATCTTGCTTCTTAGAACCCTCTCAAATATTTTTATGATATGGGATGTTAGTCTGTAGTTCTTTGCAATTGCTTTACTGCCACCTTTGTGGAGTGGGGCTGTCTGTTGTTTTTAGTGTGTGTGGGATGACCCCTGTGTCCATGCTCCCTCTCCATAAAATGCTGAAGGCACGCGATAGGGACTTCTTGCAATTCTTGATGAACACGGAGTTCCACGAGTCTGGGCCTGGGGCAGAGTACATGGGCATGTCATTAATTGCCTCTTCAAAATCTTGTGGAGTTAGAATAATATCCAAGAGTTCTGGGATGACCAGATTTTGGGTTTCGTTCATAAAGAATTCATTTGGATTGTCGACCCTTAGAGTGGGCAGTGGATTTCTGAGCACTGAGTCATATTGGGACTTTAGTATCTCACTCATTTCTTGGCTATCATCTGTGTATGTCCCATCCCGGCTAAGCAGGGGCCCAGTACTGGATGTTATTTTTCCCTTAGATTTGGCATAAGAGAAGAAGTATTTTGGGTTTTTTCAATTTCCTTTATGGTTTTTAGTCCTTCCTGTGATTCTTGTCTACTATAAGATTCCTTCAGCTTAAGTCTGATATTTGCAATTTCATTGACTAGTGCCTCCCATCTATTTCAGATATACGTAATTTGGTGTAATAGTACACAAAATGTGTGATAAAGGAATAACAGGAAAAGATGGTAGATGGATCTATAATTTCCTAATAAATAGAACAAAGAGTAGTAGTAAACAGAGTAAAGTCTTAGGCGGCTACGGGGAAAAGCTCTGTTCCAGAAGGCACAGTACTCACTCCCACCCTGTTCTTCATCCTCATATCTGACAGACAGGGATGTAAGCCACAGCACCATGTCTTCCTTTGCAGATGACACCCGAATTTGCATGACAGTGTCCTCCACTGAAGACACTGCAAGACTCAAGGCAGACATCAACCAAATCTTTAAATGGGCCGCAGAAAACAGTATGAAGTTCAATGATGAGAAATTTCAATTACTCCAGTATGGAAAATATGAGGAAGTTAAAACTATATCAGAGTATAAAACAAATTCCAACCACACAATAGAACGAAAAACTAATGTAAAAGACCTAGGAGTGATAATGTCAGAGGATCTAACCCAATGGAAATAAGTCACTCTAACTTTTTTGGGTTATCCTAGGTTCTCTACACATATGCTGCTATATATGATAATTTTATGTAACTGTATTTGTGTATACCTGAATAAACTTACTTACTTACTAACATTGTATCAATTGCATCTGCTAGAAAAATGACAGGATGGATAATGAGAACCTTCAAAACTAGGGATGCCAAGCCCATGATGACACTCTTAAGGTCTCGTGTTCTATTTAAGCTGGAATATTGCTGCACACTAACAGTACCTTTCAAGGCAGGTGAAATTGCTGACCTAGAAAATGTACAGAGAACTTTCACAGCACACATAACTGTGATAAAACACCTCAGTTACTGGGAATGCTTGAAGTTCCTCAACCTGTACTCCCTAGAATGCAGGCGGGAGAGAGACATGATTATATACACTTGGGAAATCCTAGAGGGATTAGTACCAAACTTGCACATGAAAATCACTCCCTATGAAAGCAAAAGACTCGGCAGACGATGCAACATCCTCCCAATGAAAAGCAGGGGTGCCACTAGCACGATAAGAGACAACACAACAGGTGTGAGGGGCCCTAGGCTGTTCAACTGCCTCCCAGCATACATAAGGGAGATTACCAATAGACCCCTGGCTGTCTTCAAGAAGGCGCTGGACAGACACCTGAAGTCAGTACCTGACCAGCTGGGCTGTGGTTCATACGTCGGATTGCGTGCGGCCAACAGTAACAGCCTGGTTGATCAGGCCCTTATCCACCATGAGGCCTGGTCACAGACCGGGCTGCAGGGGCATTGACCCCCGAAACCCTCTCCAGTTGTTGGTTATTGGTGGTTAACTAAATATAGGTTTATTAAGGTTAAAGTAACCTAACTTATAACAACAAATATTTATTTGTGATCTCTGCTGATATTGTTTGATAACTAATTTATTGTATTTGTAGGAGAGGCTGATTATGTAGCTCTAATTCATTTTACATCGTTTTCTTACAGTTTCCCAGGGTCAATTTGTGAACGTTACCCGCAGTTACATTTTTATGTAACTGCGGGTAACGTTGTATAAACCTACAAAATTGTTGTATTTAATTACAAATATGTAAAATTAATATCAGCATCACTTTTGGCAGTGCAGTGTATGGGCAAGCTGAGGCAA